ACACGGCTCTGGGCCTGGTTCTCGCTGCAGATGAGGCCTGTATTCAAGCTTTGCAAAAGTGAAACTATCAGTGTTTTGGATTCAGCCGGCAGCCATGGCCGCAGGAAACCCTGTACAAAGGCTCCAGGAGGAAGCTATTTGTTCCATCTGCCTCGAATATTTCAGGGAACCGGTCACATTGGACTGCGGGCACAATTTCTGCTTAGCCTGTGTCACCCAGTGCTGGGAGGCATCAGATAAAAGCACTTCCTGCCCTGAGTGCAGAGAAATCATTCAGCAGAAAAACTTCAGGAAAAACAAGCAGCTGGCTAATATTGCTGAACTATCCCAAAAGCTAAGTTTGCAGGTAGCTCAGGAATCAGGAAAAGCAGAGAGGTTGTGTGAAAAACATCAAGAGCCCCTGAAACTCTTTTGTGAGGAGGACCAGACTTCCACCTGCTTAGTCTGCCATGTCTCCAGGGCTCACAGGGATCACAGACTGGTGCCAGTGGAGGAAGCTGTGCAGGAGTACAAGGTAGGAAATAACTTCAGGACATTGCAGTTTATAGCTGTGGGGTTTGGAGCCCATTTTAATTGAACTTTAGGGCTGAATGTCATCACTGTCAATCAAATTAGCAGCTCCATAATAGCCCTGTGTGAGTGTAAGGCCATTCATTGAAATTTAGGAAAACTTGATTCAATGCCTAAATCTAGCACAAGTCCTCTTTGTGATTTTGTAGTAGGGTTGGAGTGCTGTAGTCGCTGTGATGATCAAGGGCAGTGGTGCCAGCCTTTTTGCCCCCAGGCAAGAACAGTGGCCAGGGCCTATCACTGGTCCCCTTGTCCCCCCGCCTCCCCCCACTCCGATGCAAGCTAGGTCACATTCCAGCCTGCCACTGCACAATGGCTGGCAGAGGGAGTTGGAAGAGTCTATTATTTCATTATTAGTTTAGTATATGGCACTTTTAAAGTGATATAAATATACTCACACCAAGAAGGCAAGAGGCTGTATTCTTATAATTATACAGGTGGGCTAGATACAGACAGTCATAAAGCCAGAGGCTGAATCCATTCAGTCTTCACAAGTGAATCTAAGCTGTGTAGATCGAACCAATAAGCAAGTGAACAGACATTCATTTTTAATTCTGGAAATGCAGACACATGCCTGCAATGGCCCAGGCCAGAGGCTGTGGGGGTGCTAGAGAACACCACCCTGCTGGGCTGTAGCAGACATCTCCGGTCAAGGCTAGCCTGCCCACCCTAAGACGGGGGAGCAGGAGGGGGGAGGTGCAGAGCATCCTGCAGTGCTCAGGGACTGAGTGTTAACTTGAACCTGGAGAGGATCTGGGACAGAAGTTCAGTGAAGTGATTTAACCTGAATCACTTAAGTCTGATACTACATGCATCCAGGTTTATTGTTTTAGCCATTATGAAAGTGGTTTATGTGCACTGAACTTCTGTTGTGTTCTAGATTGGAACTGGTTTCTGGTCTCGTATACCAGTTTATGTATAATTTTTGTCCCTAACTGCACAGTTAAAAAGGCACAGGGTGCTTATGCAGACAGGATATAAGAAATCAGTCTTAATTTGGCTTGACTTGGGTGCTGAAAAATGTTGGCACTTTATAACAAAGGCAAGTTTTATTTGGCTGCAAGTTACAGACCTAAAAAGGGCACTTTAGCCATCTTTTCATGTGCTCTGGGGTGGGATGGGGGTGCTTTAATTAGAGTGGCTCTTAGGATCTGCTCTAATTAAGGTGCTGGCAGTGTCTTGTGTATTCACCATCCTGGGCTTCAAAATGGTAACAGGGGGCATGTGTGGATGAAATGGGCCCTAAATTGAAGCAGTGGGTTTTAAAAAACCCCTCTTCAATTTAGGGCTGATTAAGCCTGTGTGTCATGCACACACCCCGCTGACTTACCTGTCTCTCCAGCAGGGAGGGGAGGACGAGATGCCGGCGCACAGCATGGTCCCTGGGCTGTGGGTGCAGGGAGCTGGTGTTTCCCTCCATGGCAGCGGTGCCCCCCGCAACCAGACAGCACCTGCCCACAGGCATTTGGCTTGGGTTGTCCCGGGGTGGGGCGCACTGCAGCTGCGGAGGGAAGCACTGGGCCCCTGCGCAGCTCAGGCAGGCAGGCTCTGGGGTAGGGGGAAAGATCAGGCTCGCCACTTTTCTTGGGTGGAGCTGCTTTTCTGGGCTGCTGTTAGGCTGCCTGCAGGGCTTCCTGTGGAGCTGCAAAGAGCCTGGTGCTTCGGTCTGCTGTAGGAACAGCAAACTAAAACTCCTCAAAGGAGTTTTAGTTTTCTGCGCTCCAAGTCATTTAAGGTGCGTTATGCCTCCGTATTTCTTACAGCAGCTGGAATTAATGTGCAATATGCCACCGAGGTGTGCAAACACCAACACCGTTAAAGTGGTGCAAAAGCATTTAGCCCGCTTTAAAGTGTTGTGCACACATGCCTCTCGTTTCGTCTACACATGGCCAGGGGTGCTTTAACTAAAGCTTGTTCAGTGAATATATGTGAAGCCGAGGCTGCTGGAGTGTGCTAATTAGTATGGTCCAGCAGACCTAATTAATTGAGTCTACTTTAACCTGTTCTAATTCGAATGCATCAAAGTAGGTGTCGGACACCTGTGTAGGAACCCTTTTTGTGTGAAAACTTGTCTTACATTTCTCCCAGCTATACAGTTGGTCACCAAAAGATATTATGCAAGAAGCAAAGGTTTTTTGGTACTCCCTAAGTTGGGGATGCTCCGCTCCCTGATCCACACGTAAATCCAGCCCACAGAGTCATGATATCTAGCCTGCGGGGATCCCCATGGGTTGGAAAATGTGGTTGTTGGAGGAGTGGTGGAAACTCTATGCAGCTGGATCCAGCCCCGCTTGGACCCTTGCTGCGTAGCTGGATTAGGGCCAGGCCCACCTGCTGGGTGTCAGGATCAAACCAAGCTGTTCCCTGTCCCCAACACTGCACATCCAAATTGCAGATGCTGTGCCCCTACCCTCCTCTGTAGCTGGATCAGGGTCAGGATCCAGAAAAAAAGAACCACAGGGAAATCCAAAGCTGAAGTGCAGAGATGAGCCAAAAACCAGGGTCAGGAACCAGGAGAACTAGAGTACGGGAGCGAGGAGACTTGTAACAGCAGAACCTGCAGACCAAGGGCCCCAGACAGTGCTAAATGGCTAGGTGGTGCTCCCAGCAGGTAATCAGGGTGCTTGCTGCTCCTAAACTTAGGCAGAATGTATTAATTCGAGCTTGCTGCTGGTGTGGTTGCTGCGGTACTTGGCTGAGGTTGGCCTGCCTGCTCAGGGTCCCTGACAGCACTGGGCTCAGGTTGGTCTACTTGGTCAGTGCCTCTGATACACAGTGCAGGTGAAGCTCCCCACTGCCACAGTGCTGCCAAAGCCCCCTTGCTCATGGGCCAGATGTTGCTGACCTCTGCTCTATACAATAAAGTTCACTGACATGTAGGTGATTGGCAACAGTTGAAGAATCTTTATTGCTGATTCTTAATTGCCATTTCTTGCTTTTTTTTCTTTCGACCTCTGTGGCAGAAATGCCCCGTCGGTGCCCCTCTCCAGAGATCTGTCTCAGCCAGCCTGAGAGGCTGCTGTTGAAACCCTCACAGCGGGGATCTCCCACCTTGTCTGCAGACAAAAGCCTGGCGCCTGGGAGGCGATGCTCTGGTCACCTGGGCAGGGGGCGGGAAAGACCCGGCCCTGCGCTCCGGCCCAGGTAGCCAGGGATGATTTGCAGATTGGTTGGTTTGTAGCCAGTATTGGCAGCTTCGATTGGACTGGGCTGCTGAGGTCAGAGAGGTTATTTAAGGGCCCGGGCCCGGAAGAAGGGCAGCCATTAGACATGCGGTCATCCAGGTGAATCTGAACTGGCTCTCTCTTCATCACCGCATGCTCCAAGAGTGCCCTGCCTCCAGAGGAAACCTCCAACCACCTCTGGATGATGCGAGTGAGTAACCTACTAGAGATCCGATCAGATATTTAGCTTCAGTAACTCAGATGCGTGTTGAAACGGCTACCTCAGCCACCCTGGTTTGCTCTATGGGATTCCTTTGATATTCCTGTAAGATTTCT